CCTGTGTGAAAGCATTGAGGTTTATAAGGAACAGCGGGCCTAAACAGAGACCAGTACTGCAACGCTTATTGCTGTGTGAGTAAGAATAGGAATGTGTGCTGCTCTCAGACTCTTTCCTTACCGTCTAATGTTATCTTCTTTGATGCTATCTTTGCAATATGAAAGGATATTAAAGAGTATCTGGGTTCCTTATGCTTCCTCCCCCTATTTACTCCTTGAAGGTGTTAACAGTATCTTTAGGTACAAGTCAATTATTTCTCATGGGTTCCTTTTGGTTACCTGAGGTAGTCACTGCAGATCGTCTTCCAGGTGACCTTAGAAAAACTTGCATTTTTTCCTCTTCTGATGTTTAGTCGTTTTATTAGACTCAGAAAAAGGTCTGGAAGTATTTTGGAGAGGCAAGTACTCTGGATGACATAAATAATTGCTGCTTGGAGATCTGAGCTGAACCCTAACTATACTAAAAACTCTGTGCCTGTTGCCCTAGTGCTGCTTGTTTGAGACATTAGTCTTGTTAGTGCTGCTCATTTCAGACAGGATCAAAAAAGAAGAGGCTGCTTTAAGCCAAGGCAGCACAAACTCATGGAAAGGAGGAAGCCACAAACTCTTCTACAAAGTCGCTCTAAGACTTCATGTAATACTCACTCACAAGGAGGCTGTCAGTTAGGAAGCCTTAGTGGTTTGTGATGTTGCTTCACAAATAAACTGCTGAAGCAAATATTTGATCATTCGTGACACAGAAACCTAAGAATAGCACCACAGAAAAACGGAACTTACTGTAAGTGAAAGGTAACTTCTGTTCTCACTGAAAGCTTTATACAAACTGTCTACGGAACATCTAGTGTGATACATGTTTGTATTCAATGCACTGTTAGCTGATTTAGGGTTGCATATTGTTCAATTTTCATGTCCCTAAAAGGCTAAATTTAACCGTTTTGTAACAGTTTCAAAAGCAGATGTGGGAAAAGAAAGAACAACAACTCTGTATCTGACTCTGGACAAGCAATTGATGACAAAATGTCATCAGATGAGCAAGGTAAACTAGTTTTTCACTTGCTTCTAAGTATGGAAATTTCGCCATCATCATCACTTTGCCAGGACCGAACCAAGGAACAGGTGTTTCCTCGCACCACCAACAGCTCTGGCAGAGCCACATGCCACTGCGACGGGAGACAGAGGTGACGCCCGGGGCTGCGGCAGGCGCACGAGCGCCCCGAGCAGGAGAAGGGCCCTGAGCTCTGCTCTGGAACATGGGCACCCACAAACGCACGTGTCTGACCTCCTTTTGCTCTTATACACCCTTGGGCTCAGTTGTACCATAAGCTTTGTGGGTGTTTAGCTATTCAGGTGCCCAAAGTACTGCAAATGTAAAAAAAAGAGCAATTCCACTCTTATATGCAGGCCGAGTAAGCTGGAGACAAATCCCAGCCTCATGGGAAACCCCAGACGGACACGAAGACTCCAGCGCCCACCTCTTCTCTATCCCTCAGTCCCAGGTACAACGCTCCGAGGCCTCTGAACTGTTTTGCTACAATCTCTGGTTATTAGGTAGACATCTGAGTCAATTAAATATTCACAATGACTGCCCAGCATGTTCTTAGAGGGTATGGGAAGTTGTAAGACCATCAGCATTATGATATATATTATAAAAGTATAAAAACCCTTGAATATTTTTACTTGTGTGTATGACAATATAAATTTTATGTATTATTGTAATGATTGGCGCAATGATTAATTAGTTTTGCATGACATTACAAGCTCCATATTCTTTATCTATAAATTTTGAAAGCTTAAGGTCCATTTTCTACAGGGCATTTAATATACTAACAGTGCCAATCTCAACAGCAAACCTTAGAACAACCCTGTTTGTTTCCTGGCAATACACAATCGTTCTCAACAGCTCTTCTCCTTACTCCTGCACTTCTGCAGAAACCACACCATATAAATTCCTAATATTGAGCTCTCTGCAGTACCTATTGATATCCTGGCTCCAAGAGGCCATCAAAAAAGCACGTCCTTCAAGAAAAAGACAGCCCTGGAACACTTTGCTTCTAACAACAGAGGATTGGAAGGAAATTCTCTGTGGGTGTGTTAGTGAGTGCTCTGCCTTAGTTTTTGTACCTCGTTGCCTGTGGGCAGAGAAGGGATTTTGGCGATGGCTGATGGGAGATGCCAGCTCCCAGTGACGCGTAGTGGCCGCCTGCCATTCCCTGTGCATCCTGAAAGGGGCCTTGAACCCAATCCCTGCCGGCGTCAGCCGTGCCGGGATGCCAGGGTGCCAGAGCAGCCCGCTGTGCAAGGACAACGTGCCAGCACCACGGCCAGCACACACGCACACCTTACAGCGTTCGGCCTTTGATGCAACGTTTCTTTGGAAGCAAATGCATAGAGGAAAGTCTCCAGAGTTTTCCCCCTTTCCCTCTAAGAGGACTTTTAGGTCTTGACTAGCATATACAAACAGGAGATGATGGATGGGAATATTCACCCTCTGCTGCCTGTTTCATTTGCTAAGCACTTGGGAAGCAGAGAAGAATGTAAACCAAAATTAATTCATAATTTCTCACATGGAAGAGAGGAAAAGTCTCCGGTAGAACAGCTCTGATACCCCATTTTTATAGGGCTATCTGGAAAATAACAATAGCCCTTTGGGAGAGGAGTTTGTCATTGAAATCCTGGACTCCTCAAATTCTTCCATAGAGCTCACAAATTCCAACCTGGGAGTCTTTAGGCAGAAACTGAGGGCAATCAGCCAACACATGAAGCTGCAACCACCCAACCCACAGGGCATCACCAGAGCGCTTCGGGGAGGAGTCTTGGTCCCTGGATGGCAGAGACTCTGTAACCACACGTGCTGGGAGGCAGTGAGTCACTTCTCTTTCTTCCCAGCATTAAGAAAGAGATTCTGACTAGGAAACCCTTGATACCAAGAGCACACAAGTAAACAGTCAATTTTTATAACCAAAAATCAATTTTTCGGTTATATACACTATAACCAAAACTTTTCTTATACTACAACCTTACTTGTACCTAAGCTGCAAACGCTGCACCATGCACATACAGGTCACCTACATCCATTCACTTATGCAGAAGAGCAGCACTTGAGACACAGCTTTTGCCAGTGGACAACATTAACTACCTCGGCAAGAGGACAAGATGAGGATTTATTTACCTGCCATGTCACTCTGCAAGTTTTTTTTTCTGCTGTTTGCTATGGCTGTGCTGCCAGCTCAGCTCCAGCTGTCCCAGACGGAGCAGATTAATTTTGATACATTCCTCTTCTCTGAATGTCACTCCCTGCTCCTGGCTCTGCAGACCAAAACCTTCACTGGTAACCGTATCAAGTGTCAGAAATGATGGTATTTATTAAATCTCATTCTACATCTTTAAGCTAACACTGTTCTTAATGAAGAAGGTGATATTTGTTACGAAGTCACAAACAGCCCTAAAACAGCACGCACAATAAACTATACCATCTTTGCCCATCCTGAACCATGCATCCCTGGGGGAAATCGTCCCCCGAAAGAGAAGCATGAATCCACCTCATGGTAGCAGAATCGGAGGACCCACTGCAACAGAAGCATCTCCCCTTCCTCCTTGGGTGGCCTCCCCGCAGCTAGAGCAGCAGGACAGGGACAGAGCGCCGTGTTTGTGGCCGTTGCTGCCACCTGCTGATGCACACAGCTGTGCATGGGGCCTCCAGGGCAAAGCACCGCGTCCTTCCTCACAGCCTGCTCTTCCTCCCCTGCACCCCAGCACCGAGTGGCCGAAACGCAACGCGGCCCATGGGTGCCACCACGACGCCCAGATCAACGTCACGGCACAGACATTCCCATGCCTGCAATCTGCTCCCAAAGTCATTCCCTCTACTGAAAGCTTTGAAGCATGAGTTCAAAGGCGGAAAAAAAAACACAGAAAAAAAAACCAGTTTGCTCTGAAGGGGTCAACCAAAAGCAGCAGCTCCCTGTACCGAGCAGAGAGCAGTTCCTGGCGCAGGCCAGACTGCCCCAAACGCATCCTCCACGCGCGGGGTCAGCGTGATGTTTTATTTAGCAAACGGAACACCCCGGAGGAGGGCTACCTCTCGCTACCACTCTGCTATCCTTACAGCACAGACAGTATTTCTCTAGCAGAGAACTGATTTTCACAGCATATTACCATATCACAGACCTGACATTTAAGGAGATGTGGGCATTTAACATCTGGAAATTAGCTTTGAAAATCCGGCCTATTTCTCTTACCTTTTCTAAATGAATTCACTTTTGAAAGGAGAGAGGTTCAGTCAGAAAAACAGAAGCGCACACCTGGTGCCTCGCTGGGTCACACGCAGACAAAGATGTTTCTACAGGGCCTATTGCAGCGTTCCTGGGTTTTCTCACATCTCTTTCAAGGGGAAAAATGTCTAAAACATCATAAACCAAGACAGCTTTTGAACTTCCAGCAGCAATACAACGTTTAAAATAAAAGGGGAATAAGCAGAGTCAAGTACTGCATGAACTCGGAAACACAAAGGACTTCGGAGATGTCTGAAAATTAGGTACAAGTGTGAACAAAGCGAACATAAGATGCCAAAAAGGGAACCGCATAGTTGACTGATGCAGGAAGATGAAATCACAGAACTTCTACCCACAGTAACTCTCTATAGGTGGCATTCAAGGGCAAAATAACATGGAAATCATCTGCAGGGATGAATTGGAGAGAAAATAAAAATGGGTAAGAGTTCAGACAGTTTAAAGCGAAGGAAGCAAATCAGAACAAAGAAGTTTGTAACATCAATCATTTCACTGACTCAGTGCCTCAGTCCCAGCCGCGAGGACCCAGCCACCGTTGGGAGCAGGACATGTTTTACACAACATTTGACTTTATGGATCTACAAAGTACTAATCCCCATTGCTTTAATTGGCCGAAGGGTACAGCTGGGATTTGACCAGCTGTTTCCTGGGGAATAAAACTCTCACCTACTCTGTGAGACTGTCAAGTACATCAAAAAGGCATCAGTTTGCAAAACCTCTTACTTGTTACTCGGACAGCATTTAAGCTGGCACAGATGTAGCAAGGGATAATTGAGGCTTTACAGATAAAACAAGGTTTGACTCAATGACAGTTCCAAAAAAATACAGAAGTCCATTTCAGGCTTGCTGGAGTGGTGCATATAACCGACACTTGCTAAAAGCCAGACCCCGCCACCTTATTTTACAGACAATTACTCTTTTTGTTTTTGAGCCACACAGGCACAATCTAGCAAACGCTCCACAGCAGCCTCTTGAAGTCCTTTCCCCCTTGGAAAAGATGAGTTGCCATGATTTTGTGTCTCTGACTGCAAAGTTTCCCTCCAAAAAATGCAACAGTCAGTATTTTCCACCCACTCCATATCTTAGTTGGTGGCATTTATGTAACAAAAATAAAGATATTTCTATAGAATTTTCTATTCTTCCACAACACTTTCACTGCAGATATGATGCAAGGAGTATTCCCTCCTTTACTTTTAAGCTACTTAGAGGGTACAGCCAGTGTCAACATCAGAATACGAGACTATCAACAGGCAAGTGAAGAACAAGCAGGGTAGATTTAGATGGCAGCCAGAAAAATGTTCACCAAGCACCGGGCGGTGCTTTGCAGCTTTGCTCTTCTGGAGCAAAGGCCAAACTGCACAACCATTTCTAAAAGGAACTTAGGAGACTTGCTGAAGAGACCGTGCGGCCCCGAAAGCCGGTGCCTGACTTGAAGTTGTGGGTTCATAAGGCTAGAACAAAACCTGAAAGCCCGTCCTCTGAGCCCTGTTGACCTTAGGCAACTCACTGGAATTTCCATGGTTTTGCTTCACAGAGATCTTGGACAGTGTCACGGAGTAATGCTATAAAGTGCCTGGAAATCTGAGCAAGAAAGGTGGGAGAAAAACAGATTTACTTGTATCTATAATGATCCTTGACAACTGCTGACAATTTTTGATTGCCACCTCTGTCATTTTTCCCCTGCTGGAAGACACGGTCCACAAACAAGGTAGTCCGAATTTACTGAACCAAATCTGGATGACACTGAGAAAAAAAAGAGAGAGAGAAGAAAGGTGACTGAAAATGTTGCAGCCACTTGCAACTATTAAAATGTGCCTTGCTGGCAGCTTCATTTGGAGGAAAAATATAATCTCCAGTAAAAGTGATTTATCACAATGACACATCTCAGTGCAGAGCTCAGCAAGAGCTACTCAATACACACAGAAAGGAGCATGAGACGCACACACTGAAGAGAATAAAAAACCCTGCCTTTCTGATACCTTCAGAAATGACAGTCCTACTCTCCTCCATTCTCCACAGAAAACGTAACTTTCTCTGCAGACTCTGTTTTATCTATTTTTTTTTGTTGAAAAAAGGCTTATGCTATATCTGTTTGTTATTCAGAGTGAGTTAAAAAAATTTGTGGCATGTAAAAATTTCTAGAAAGAAAAATCTATTTTTACAAAAGAAATTTAGGATTCAAGAATCAAAATGGCTGATGTCTGGCTGACGTTTATTTCCAGAAATTAATAATCTTAAAGCAAAAATGTCTCCTTTTTACCATTGTTACTTACCCAAAACACAACTTTCCTGAGAATAAAACCTCCTCGAGGAGAGGTCTTGGTGAGGCCTGTGCTCTGGGGCTCTGCTAACGGGCTGGTAAGTAGTGAGGACCTTCTGGTTCCCACCTTGTGCCATGAGCGCGGTAACGGAGCAGCTCCCTGTGGAACAGCAGCTTCTACGAGCGGCCACGGGCACGGGGCCGAGCGAGGCGGCACCCCTGCTGCTCTCATCCAAAGCGGGTAGGGGGTGACAACGTACCTCAAATTACCAATTTCTAGCGTTCTCAGAACCTACCGCCTGGACAGAAAGTACCATTTTTCCTCAGGACATCATGGAGGCCTTCAACAGATGCCATTCCTAGTTCAGCAG